GGAAAATTGTTTATCTTATAAAATAGATGTTTACATTGAAATGATAGGAGTTTGATATAAACCATATCTTGTAGTATTGTCTATATGAAAAGATTTTTCTTTCTTTTGATAAATAGGATACTATGAATAAATCATTTATTCTTTTTCTATGTCTCTCTTCTCGTATTATTATAGTAATTATTTCATCTAAATGTGGAACATTTTCAAGTATTAACTCAAGAAATTTGTCGGATTACAATTATAATTGTGACAAAGAACAAAAATTTTCTATTATAATATCAAATTTTATGTATTCATCAAAGATTCATAATAAAATTCATAAGATGAATCTGAATTGATCTTTGATTCTTTTTTTTTAGATACTTTCAAATCAATAATAACAATTATCTGATGAAACAAATATGAAAATTAGAGTAGAACATAACTTTGTTTTTTTTTTTCTTTCACTTCAATAGAAAACATTTCTTTACAAGATGAATACTTTCATAGATATTGTGACACTATTCAAACAAATTGTATGCTTTCATAAGATTACTACAATTGAAAAGGATACAAAATAAAACATATTCATTTGTTAATTGTTTCTTATTCGATGAGATATTAATCTCAGATGGAATATAATCACAATGAATGATTGATTCAGTTTTTCTTGATTATTTATAAGTACAACTTGATACGTTATGTTTCTAAATCACGAGTTAATGACTACAACTATATAAAGATATAATTTCAGTTTTTTTTTTGATGAATAATTTTATGTGATAGAAACGAATATTTGGTTTCCGACCGATATTTTTGATAGTAAAATTAAAAAAAAAAAACAAGTGAGTTTTAAATTGATAAAATTAATGGATACATATATTTACGAAGCTGATAATCATGAATTTTTGGTTAATTTGCAAAATATTAACAACATTCATAAATCTATTTAAATCTTATTCATTCTTTTGAAAGTTATTAGTACATGATTTTTTTTCTCAATCTTTAGAAAATAAAGATTTGTAACTAATATTATTTTTGATATAAATTTCTAATGTATTAATTAGAAATACAGAATCTATTCGTATGCACCAACACATATTGAAGTAAATTTTAGCAAAAATTATTGTCTCCATGAAAATTTTTTTAATGTAGAATATTAACTAATGAAGTTTTTCTTTTGTATCAATCAAGATACGAAATTTATACATACATTACATAATTGATTTATCAATAGAGAACAATCCAACTAGGTTTTTTTTTTGTCAATTGATTCCTTTCACTATTGAATACATTTCTCCTTCGTGATATACATATGTCCTATATGACGTTTTGTTTTACTTTATTATTATTTTCCAAATGTGGGCACTATTAGAGCATTTCATCTATTTGTGTCATTGTTAAGGTTAATCGTTGTTTTTTGTTTTTTTCCCTAATACAAATAACAAATTGTTTGCCACAAGCTGCGACGAAATCATCAAAGACAAAGTAATAAGTTAGAAAACTTCGTTATATTGTTAACTTCCAATCTAATCTATCATTCTCATCCTTATTCTCAATGATTCCACCTGGATTTAAGACAATTAGAACCATTAGGAAAATTTTTAAGCTTTGTTTCAGTTATGATAAATTGTTTCTGAAATGACTAAGTATTAAGTCTATCAATATTATTCGATGATTGATGAAACTAATTTGTTTTCTACATAATATTATTTTGAGTATATAGTAGTCTCGTTTCCTCTCTTGGCTTTTTTTTTTAAATATATGTATTTAAAAAAAAAATTATTTATTTATTTTGATTTTGACGATAAGGAAAATTTTAAAGAAAACTTTTCTTCGTTAAGAGAAATCTTTCATTTTATATATATGTAAAATACTCAAATAAGAAAATAACTTAATTTTAATTGATTTGAATATTGATGATGTTTTTATCAAGCCTTAGATCTCTCTTCTTATGCATTTTTTTTATTTTCTCTTCTTTTTTAAACACGACCACAATCAACAACAGTAGACAATGTTTTTTGAAAAGCAACAAATACAGAAGGAAAAAAAGAAACCAAAAAAAAAAAAAAGAAGAAGAAGAAGACAAAGAGAGTTAATGAATAATCATAAAAATCGTTCGATTAACAGCAAAAGAAAAGAAACAAAGAGAAAAAGAGAAAGAAAAAAAAAAAAGAAAATTGTCTGAATCTGATATTATCGTTCTCTTTATCTTTATTCATTGTATTTTTCTTTATGATTAAGTAAATATTCAGCTAGAAAACTAATTGGTTTAGCGGGCCGTTCTTTAGCAAGTTGAGACATTGCTTGAAGAAGAATTGGTACGACAGTTTGATCAAGATAAGCCCGTGTTGGTAATGTTGATAAATCAGGTTTGGTCTTTTCACCTGACTGTTGTTGCGAACTTGAAGTATTTTCCTTTGTTGCATCAGCTGTTGATGCTTGTTTATCATTTGATTGTTGTTCACCTGAATCGACAGCTGGTTGAGCTTCCATTTGTTCTGGTGCTGTTGTTGTTGTTGTTGTACTAACAACATTTTTATCACCAGATTCACTATCAACATTAGTAGTTGGTGTTTGTTGATTTTCACCCGAAACTTCCGACATAGTTAATTAAATACGCGTAGAAATTAAATCTAAAACAAGAGCCAATGGCGCGAAAAGAGATTTTTTTTTTTTTGAAATAACTTTTCTGTCACTAACTGGGATCTTTTTTTTTTATCCAAAAGTGAATAATATATAACAGTAATGAGTGCACAAAAAAAAAAGTTGTGTACACTTTTTAAAAAGTAGTTATAACAACAATAAAGAAAAAATGTTTCATAGCATTCCGAAATATTTGTAACAATAACAGCAACAGAAAAAAAAAGAACAGGTGTAAAGAAAAACAGAAGGTTGTTTTTTCCGTTTTCTTTCATTTTTTTTATAAGAAATTATTCACCATATTTTTCTTTATTTTGTTGTAAATATAAAGCTAAAGTTTCAATTGGTTTAGCTGGACGATCACGAGCTAATTGTGACATACCTTGTAAAAGTATAGATACAACAGTTTGATCAAGATAAGCACGTGTTGGTAATGTTGATAAATCTGTTTTTTGTTTACTTATTGTTGAATCATCTTTTGTTGATGTTTCATTGGATGATATATCATTATTTACCTTATTTAATATTGAATCTGTTTGATGTTGATCCATTGGTTCACTTGTAGAAGTTTTTTCCCCATTTATTGATGATGTTTGTTCAATTTCACTTGTTTCTTCTGGTACCGTTTGATGGGTTTCAATAGTTGTATCCGACATTTTAATTTTAATAGATAAACAAGAAAAAGAAAAAAAACAACTATTTAAATTTTATCTGAATTAAACAGTACACGGTAATATATGAATGAACAATAGACATACACCACGAAAAACAAAGAACATACCCATTAGTCTTTATTCTAATCGCCATTATCTTTGCACCAACAGAAAGGTTAGATTAGATAGAGGTTTCAATAACTTGATTATCATTTTTTTCAAGTGACAAAATATAGGTAAATGTAATTTGTTTAGTTAGATTACCTATTATTAGTAGTAGTTATTTATGTGATTAATGAGAAGGAAAGGTTTTAGTTCGAGAGATGTCACTAAATATTAATCAATTGATTATGTCTAACGACATCTGTTGTATCATTTAGAAATGAACGAATTGGAGAATTTTAAGAGTTGAAAGAAAGATTCTTCAATGGAAATCAGTGTTTCTAATGGCAAGTGTACACTGCAGAAGCAAAATTTACAAACATCTGCAGCTATGAAAATACACGCTGCTGTACACTTTGCTTAAAAAAGCAGCGTGTATACTTTTCTGGACAATTTTATAATATATCTTAGTTTATATTAGAACTTTTTCTTTTCTTTTTGCTCTTTCGCTTCACTTCAGTAATGTAAATGATTGTGTACATTTTGTTTTAGAATTCCATTAGAAACACTGATGAAAATAGATGTCTTGTTCTTTTTTTTAATTCTTGAAGTTTTGTCATCGAAAAGAATAATTTATTGACTTTGAGCAATCTGATTATATCTGTAGAAAGTCTTCACTGACGTTAATTGTGTTATAATGTCACGTACTAAAAATTAATTCCTAACATACAAGTCTTTATCAGATTGATGAAATAAAAGATTTTCTTGATAATATCGAATTCAAAAAAAAAAGTCAATATTCAACGGAAACTATTTGAATTAGAACAATTCCGCCTTATCCCATGAGACAAAAAAATCTTTCATAACTATATCTATCAATTAGGCGAGTAAATATATAGAAAACTATCTAATCCTATGAAATGAAAACTTATCTAGATAATATCTCATTTTATCCCATGGTACCAATACTTATTACGAATAGCTATTATCTTTTTAATTAAAGAAAAAATACAATCGTTCTTGCTTATACAAACAGAACTATAATGAAAAATAAAATATTCTTCTATTTTTGTACATGGTTAAGAACTGTAAACAACATTAAAAGGCCAAAGAAAAAGACAAATAATAATGAATCAACAGATAATGAAAGAGTGCATCTGATTTTCTTGAATTTATGAAATACACAAGATGAGATAATATTAGATTTGATGGTAACGCTAGTTGAATCAATGAGTGTATTAAAAAATTATTCTTGTTTTTAAAATATATTTGATTCTTTCAAAATTCTATAAGATAGGATGAAAAATTTTGAAGATCATTCAATCTCTTGGAACATCAGATTGAGATAATTCATAACATGAGATGATTCTTTTCGTCCTATCCTATCCCATACGAAACCCTAATTTCAATATTCATAAAGGATAATCCATTTGTATAGTAAGAAAAAAAATGTTTTAGATAAATGTCATAACATTAGAATTTTCTATCCCCGAGAATTTATTATCATCTGACAAACTAAAACTACATTAAAATAATTTAATAATAATAAAAAAAAAACCCGATCAGATCATAATTCACTAAAGTGAAAAAAAAACAAATATTTGATTATTGAATATATATTGCTTATTCAAATATGGCTTGTGTTGGTGGAAGATCTTCATATTTTGGTGGATTATCAGCATAACATATTGTATGATCTAAATAATGAATAGATTATAGATTTAACAAATTGGTTTGTAAATAGCTATGAAATTAAAATAGAAATCATATAGGCCAAAAGAATCAATAACAACATCTACTATTATTCGAATAGAAAATATTTCTATGGAATATTTTTCTGTAAATTCATTGAGAATGAAAAGCGATCGTTCGGTGTTTTTTTTTAATTTTGTTATATAGATTCTGAGATTTTTATTAGTAGATGTGTGATGAAAAAATGAACTTTTTCTATATTGTATTGTAATATTTAATATGATGTAAATAATCTTTTCTACGATTTAGAAAATGATGTTTGTTTCAAGACTGTTTCTTATAATGTACATACGAATAATTTCTAATTAATTATTCTTACTTGTATTAGTAATAGTTGGTTCATTATAAACAATAATTTTATTATTATGATCATTTGTTTCAATTTTCATTTGTTTGATAATTTTACGTTGTTTAGATAAAAGAATAATATGAACAAAAAAAGATAAAATACCAATAATTAATTGTGTTGTATTAAGTATTTGAGTTAAATTAAATAAATTTTTTATTTCTATACATGGAATATTCGATGAATAAACTTTTAAACTATTTACAAAAAATATTCCTCGTGATAATGATATAGTTGATTGACATATTGGATATATATCTTGACTATCAATAATTAATGCAGAAATTGAAACTGCAATAAGACCCGGTGCTAATATAAGATTAATAATAAATGACCAAATTTGAGCATGGATAAAATATCGATATGATTTTTCTTTATATCCAGCAATAATTGATGCTAAACCAGCAATCATAAGAAAACAACCTGAAATAATTCCTGCATTAATTGGCGAAAAATTTCCTAAACGATCTATTGATATATAATGTATAAAAAAAGCACAAAAACCAAGTATAAATGATATCCAACCAAGACGAAAAATAAATTTATTTGATTTTAAATTTATTTTTAATGTTTGCGGTTGAATTATAATTGTTGTTGGAGGAGAAGAAGAAGAAGAAGAATGATCATTTTCAGTATTCATCTAGAAATTAAAATATTTTTGTAAAAATTATAATGAAATTTCTACCAGATACTTTGTTTTTTCGATGATTTAGCGACACAATTATCAAAAAACTTGCTACAACATAAGCTTAACCCTTTGAGTCCGGGACTTTTTTTTTTTTTTTAACTAGAAGTATTTATAATTTCAAATCAATATTTATCTCTTTGAGAGCGACGATTCTTTCTCAAGAAATGTTACAGACTTGATCCATGTGCGAACTCATCAAATCATATGCTGATTACCTGAACTATTAAGGGACAACCCATAATGGTCAGTAATTATAGATAATCTTCATCGCACAAATATCCTAAATCCCAGGACGAACATGTTCGTCGGTCGGACCCAAAGGGTTAATGAAAGATAACACAAATAAAACATCAATTATTAGTAAAGCAAAAATGAAACCGAGCGATACATTTTCAATGAAAAATTTTACAATAAAAAAAAAAAAAATTTTTTTGTTTATATCCATCAAAAATGATATGAGCATCAAATAAACAATTGGAAAAATAAATGCATTGTATGGAATAAATAAATACGATTGATATTTTATTAGTTAGTAAAATTTTATTTGATGTCTGTTTGATGATTTGCAGAAGCTCTAGAAGACAAAAAAAAAATTCTTTTAATTTTTAACAAAAATTAAAAATTTGTTTTTTTTGTTTTTTACAATTTGCTATCACTATCTAAAGATTGTCTTAGTCCTGGATTTACTGCAACAACTGCAGTTGCAATAGCTGCTGTATTTACTAATGTTCCAGCAAGAGGTTGAGATTTATTATGAATATTATTATTAGAAACATTTGTAATTGTATTATCATTTTTTCGAATTTCATCATCATCTGAATCATATTCATCATCACTACTACTTGATGATAAACGAAAATAATTGTCTTTAACAAAATGAAATATACCACTAATAAAAAAAAAAAACAAAAACAAAGAAACAATATTTGAAAATAAATTAATCAAAATTTTCTTACGGTTTCTTTGGTAATGGATTAGTTGCATTTTGTAAAAGATTTCGATAGTGTTCAGAGTGTATAAAACGTGGATAACTATTTTTTTTCATTAATTCAATAATATGTTTTTCAGCTTCAATAAAAATATCTCTACAAAAAAAAAAAATGAATTCGAAATTTAAACAATTAAATCATTTTTATTTTATTTTTACCGATTAGGATTATCAAGTTGTTTAATAATTTTTGTTCGTATTGTATCATTTATATTAACTTCTTGTGGTGCATTTGGTGCTAAATGTTCTCTAAACAAATAAAAAAAAAAATATTAAAATAGATAGTTTACTTATATATATATATATATATAAACAAACTGATAGACATAGTCAGCTTTTTGTTTTATTTGTGATAATGGACAATTACGTATTTCTTGTACATGTAAATAAAAATTGAGACTTTCAGTTGAAAAATCAGCTTTACAAAATTTCATAAATTCACATACACCAGTAGGATCAGAAATAAGTTCTTTACAATTAAATGACCAACGACGAACACGAAGTTGAGTTGGATTATCAACTCTATAAATCAAATACTTATTATATTCAATATATATAGAAAAATAAATATATATATATATATACAAAGGTTGCATAAGAGTCCATCGTTCTGTATCTGATGTTAACCATGGATTTGATGGTGAACAATGTCCCAAAAATGGATCATAATCACTGAATAATTCGAAGAATGCACATAAACTTTAAAAAAAAATAAAAATTAGAATTTCTTGATTTGTTTTTTTTGTTTTCAAATAAATTGAAATGGATTTATATAACACCATGAAGCAATAGGGTTCAAATATTTGGAAAAGAAAATAATTGAAAAAAAAAACAAAGAGGTAACATCGATCGATTGGTAAGGATGTAGGGATATGTGTAATACTACATAAGGAAAAAAAAAAGAAAAACCTTTGGTGTGTTTGTGATGATTTTGTGCGTACTCGATTGGACAATGTCTGTCGAAGATATTCAAGCTGAAAAAATGTTAGTTCAATCATTTTTATTTTTCTAACTAATTGTTTTTTTTTTTTTTTAATAAAATCTAAAGAAAAGTAATCATTTAAACTTACACGACGTCTTACTAATTCTTCACGTTTCATCGGTCGATATGTATACAAATCATTTCGTATATCCATTTCGAGTATTGATGCTTCATCGGGCTATTTATAATAACATAATTTATTATAAAAAAAAAATAATCAAATTCATAAACTTACTGAAGGTCGCATAACATGCCAGAAAGCTCGTTCTTGACTATCAATAATTGCTTTATCAGTTTTTTTACGATCTTTGAGTACACTACAAAAAATAATACATAGAAATTAAAAATAAAAAAAAAAACATTTCTTACCGAAGTTGAGCTTCAGCTTGCATTGTAACAAAATCCCATTGATGAATTAATTTCATTTTAAGATCATTTAATGCATGCTAAAAAAACAAAAAATATTAGAATTTTAATATTATCTAATCAATGAACAATAAACAAACCATTTCATATTCTTCAAGACCATGTCGTTGACGATTTCTTAATGTTCGTTTTAATAAATAAATAGCTAAATAAATAAATCAACATTCAATACAAAAACAAAAAAGCGTCTTGTTTTTTTTTTTTTCAACAAACCATATTCAACATTGCCTGTTGTCCAATTAGTTGAAACCCAAAAATATGGCGCTTGAAAACGAAATAATTCATTATCATCTTTAATTTGTACAGCTCCATTTGTTGTTACATGAAAGAAATAACCATAATAACATAATAATGAAGCAAGATGACATGCTTCAACTAGATAACAAAAACAAAACAAGATAAGAATTATTTTCAATAACAAAACAAAGAAATCTTATTTACTAGAATCTTTAATATTTAATTTTTGCATAATCCATTCTGATACATCATTACCCGTAAATGCATTTGGTATTGTTGTAAGAAATAATTTTTGTTCACGAACAGGTACACCTGCTGTTGGATGTTGCATAGCTTTAACAATACGTTCCATACGTTGAAATTGAAGTGAACGTGGTAAACTTTTACGTTGACTGTATGTCGTTACTTCCATTATATAATTATGATATTCTAAAAGTGCATTAATGACAAGAGGAAAAAAAAAGATATTATATAAATGTATTGATTATGTTTCTTCGTTATTTTCACAGACAATAAGTGCATCATACACAAACGACGTGTAATAGGAAAAAAACGAACTTTTTAACATAAACAACAGAAAATGTCGTATTAAATACCAGGAAGTACAAGAAAAAAAAAGAAAAGAACAAAACAAATATATATATATATTTATTGAGATATTAATAGAGAATAAGAACAGTTTGTTTTGTTAACTGATAATAAATAAAATATAAAAAAAAAAAAAACTGCCCAAAAAAAAAACACAATTGAGGAGTAAAAAATGAAATATCTGACAGAAAAAAAAAACAAGCTTTCTTTTCAAGTCATAACACATCCTTTATTCCTCCAAAAAAAAAAAAAAAAAAAAAAAATTTTTCTTTGTATAAAACAAAAAACAGCACATTCATAGAAGCAAATTAAAAAAAACACGGATAAAGAAAAAAAAAATATTTGTTCATTAATATTGCGGTATATTGTCAGATTATACATTTTGAAATTCGATTTGTTTTTTTTTTTTTTCTTTCTAAAAGCATAAATAAACGGAAAACAAAGAAGAAGAAAACATAGACATACATATAAACAGACATAACCGACAATCATATATAATAGAAAAATAGTAATGTAAGAAATAAAAAAAAAAAAAAAATTATTTTGTTGTTTTCGTTTTAAGTATGATATTACATGATTCATTATTTTTTGACACGTTTTTGTTGATCAAGAATAGCAGTAAGAATTTCTTGTTTAGCTTTTTCAATATCTTTACGTATTTCAGTAAGTATTTCATTTTTGATTTTTTCTAGATCAGTTGCTGTAATATTTGTTGAACTTGATTCAGTTGTTTTTCGTGCAACACGTGGTGATGTTTGAACAGGTGCTGGTGTTGCTGCTGGTAAAGTTGATGTTGTTGCTTTTGGTGATGCTTTAGTAGAAACTGTATTTGATGAATCACCTTTTTCACCTTCATCAATAACTTTTCGTCGTTGAGCAAATTTAGCTGCCATTTCAGACATTAAATCCTGTGGTGGAGCACTTGTAGTCGATTTTCGTCCTGTATTCGCACTACCATTTCCATTAGCATTAGGAAGAACTAATCCAGGTGCAGATGGTGGTCCACTACCTAAACCACTAGGTAATGGAGGTGGAGGAGGTGGTGGCGGTGGTGGCGGTGGAGCAGCCGGAGGAGCACTACCTGTTGTCGACATAGATGGATTTAATGGTGGAGCTGGTGGAATATTATTGATTTTATTTATTGAATTATCACCGTATGATGAATATGAATCTGATATAAGTGCGTAATTTGTATCGTCGTCTTCAGTTGGTTGAGGATTTTGACTATAATAATTATTACTAGTAGTTGAAGTTGGTATAGAATTTATTGATGTTGAATTTGTACGCAATGGATTATTGTAAGCTAGAGACGAGTATTGTTGTTGTTGTGGTGGTTGTTGTTGTTGTTGCTTTATCTCTGATACAGAAGAAGAAGAATTTGACGTGGAATGGATAGATACTGTTGTCGCTGTTGAAGGAAGCGAAGAAGAAAACTGGTTGGTTTGACGTATATTCGACGTTGCACTGTTACTGCTAATATTATTGATATTATTCTGTGTCATCGATGGAAGCGTTGCTAGAGTATTAATATTTGTCTGAGAAGAAACATTAGGAGAACCATTGACATTTTCCAGAATTTTCATCATTGTTGTACCAAATTCTTGTGCATCAATTTTTGATGAAAAATTTAAACCATATACACATGATTGATCACGCCATTGATGAAATGTAGGTGTTGCTTGATTATATTTAATACCTTTTATAATTGAATGATTTAAAACAACTTCATGA